TTCCTTCGAGTTTACAACAAGGGAACAACCTCCCTTAAAGTGTATGAAAACACTTAAACACTCAGGAATAAAACTCTCACAAAGAGTAGATATGAGTGAACTAGTAAACGCTCAAGAACACGACAATTTCTTCAAGAATTGGCTCTCAAATAGCTAAGAAAATTAGGAATGATTATGCAATGAAAGAGTATTGAAATGTTGAAGAATTGTGTTTAAAATGAGAGGATTTGGGTGCCATTTTATAGCCCAAAATGGGATAAACCCGTTGCTAGAGTTTCCAACAAGATGAAGACAAATTTTTCAGGGACACAGGCTGATAGTCGATTGCCAAAGCTTGATAATCGATTATCCAAAGATTCCCTGTCCAAAAATTTAAAATTCTATCCGTTGGAGGACAACGGTAACCCAGATAATCGATTGTCAACAAGTGATAATCGATTATTGGTCCTCTGAGAAGATTCTGGGTTTTGGCTGCAAAGACTGATAATCGATTATTGCATAGCTGATAATCGATTATTGCGTGCTTCAGAACTTTGGAAGTTTAAAGCTGCAGGGGCTGATAGTCGATTGTCACTAAGGTGATAATCGATTATCACCCAGCTAAAGTCTAGCCAGCTGAAACCCGTTTTGAAAAACCGAGGTCCAAAAACGAAGTGTTCCCAAAAGTAAAAACCAGGTTTGAAAAATATTGTATATGGTATAAAATAGTGAAAACAAGACTTGTTTGGTAAAAACCAAGTCTCCAAGGTCGTACAATACGTGCGTACGGTTTTGACCGTTTTTCACGTGTTAGACTGATTGACCAAGATACAAAAGGGTTTTTATAAAATAAATATTTGGAAATATTTTAAAAAAGCTCCGAGGTAAAAATAGGGATTAAAATATTGAAAACCACGGAGTTGGTTTGGGCGTCAAAAACTGAACGCCGAAAGCCGAGCCCCGACTTAGGTGGTTTCGGTTCTGAGCAAGGACCAGGGATTTTAACAATAGAAGAAATCATCAAAAATGTTTGTTTTGATGCACAAAAAATATTTTGTGATTTGTAAAAATTGTTTTGACTCTTTGAGAACCGAGACTTGAATTTATTGTCGGTTTTGATCACAAAAGACCGACTCGACTAAGTCTTCAATTCTTGATCTTGTCCTTGAGTCTTTTAGGTCTTGTTCCAAGCCATTCTTCACGCCTTGAGTTATTCAACGAAACTCTTTATATCCACGGCGGTTTGGCAATTACCAAAACCTGTTAGAAATGAACACGACTTTAGTTTATCGTACAAAGTGTGTTCCAACAGGTATGTGGAATTCGTTTTTGTTGAAGCTATTTTAGCTCCATAAGGTAGTTAAATGAACTCCGAATTCATACGTGAATCTTTTTTGTGATTTGTGTTTGTTGATTTTAAGAATTTTGGACTTCTTAGCTCCATAACTTGATTCATTTTTCTTAGAATTCGTTATTAAGTGATTGTGTATGTTTTCTCGTATGCTTGTTCATTATTTTCATAAAATTAAGGTTGTTTAAGCTCAAAAACAATTCTCGATATATTGAAAATATGTTGTGTTCATCATTGTGAATAGAAAAAACGTCATTGGTTTGAGAAGTTCATGGAAATCTGTGAAATGTGCTCATCATTAGGAGAAAAAGTTTATTAAAATGCATAAGTTATTGGCGGTTTGTGAATATATTATGCGTGAGAGCTAGAATGAAAAAAAATTTGCTCTTTTATAAACTTTTTCTATAGTGGAAGTATGTTTTCATGCTTGATTGGTGAGTTGGGGTTCTAAGGTATATTTCAAAATAGGCCATTGAATTACATGACTCCGGGCCGTGTGGAGAGTGGACAATCCTCCATATCTTGGTTAAGGAAATGAATCGACTCGGCCTTTGATTGATTTTTCTTATTCTTAAGTGCGTAAGTTACGTAATATATTGTCTACGTGCCTATTATACGTGTAATGTTCGATTGTGTTTGTTCTCTTTTTTATTTTGTTTCGGGTTCTTGGTGGTGTTCTTGGGTTACTTTTGTTGGAGTAGATGATTATCTTTAGAGCTTGTTTTCCCCCATTTAATCAAAAAACCAAAAAAATAAGAAAATATAAAAAACCAAAAAATATTTACTTTTTATTCAAATCCCCCCCTTTGTGTTGTGTTTCAGTTATATTATAAGTTCTTTGTTTATATAAGTTATATTTATAAGTTTTTATTATAAGTTTTATAAGTATTATCATATGTGTAGTAGTTAGTTTTATTTTTATATTTATTTTCGTGACAACGTATTCGCATTCTAAAATGGTTTTAAAAAATACATACTTTCTGCGTGGGATTGACCCTTACTTGCCCTAGCTATAGTTTTTATTTGATTATATATTGGGGGTTAGCTAAGGTTATTTATAAATTTTTAATTTGTTTTGGACCGCACGACAAGTCCTCAACACTTGCATCATAAGAAATGAATTAAAATAAAGCAAAAAAGAAATAAAATATAAAAAAGAGTTCAATAGTAAAAATTATTCATAATTGATTTTTATAAAATAAAAATTATTCAAAAATTAAAAATAGAAAAAAGAAATCATTAATATGACAACTACTCATGATAGGCACAGTTGGTTACTTGGTTATTAAAGCAATGATTAATACTCCTATGATAACTCCACCAATAATTATGGGTGAAAAATTAGAACTCTATGCACGTGCTTTTTTTATGTGTATAATAATACCCCTTTGTAATTATTTCATTCATAAATTGATGCTTATTACCATATTAATCAATAAATGGCGCAACTTTTTAGATCAATTTTGGACCCTTAGATCTGCAATATCAATGTATCTCATTTATTCTCATTTCTTTCATCAAGGGTCATTCTCATAGGAATCGGCCCCTATATACAATGGCGGATCCAGAAAATGAAATGAAAGGGGGCAAGAATAAGGCAAGGCTTGGGACCAACACTCGATTTTTTTTGTGTGAAAGTTAATGTAAAAGGCCATAAATACAGTTTGATGGTGTAAATTATCAACCGATATATCATTTTTAGCCGGACAAAAACAATAAACTAGTCTAAAAAATACACCAAAATATAAAAGCGCGAATTTTGACGTGGAAACCCAAATCTGGAGAAAATCATGGGTCTTTTTTGGCAGTACCTTGCCAACGGGAAATTTTTATTAATATCAGGGGTGTGTACACGGTACATGAAATGGGCTCGAAAGCCATAAATGGAAGCTTGAAAGTTTATTGAAGAACAAAAATTATGAATATCTAGAGAGAGAGTGATCGAGATGTGCAGGAGGAAGTGAGTGAATTGGCCTCCCATTTAATGAAGGAGAGCCCTCCTTTTATAGGAGTAGCAGAAGCATCTACGGAAGAATATTCTCTTATTCTTCTATTTTATTAAATATGCCCGATTTGGTTGTTCTTCGTAAATAATTGGGAAATGTGGGTCGAACCACGTGCTATTTCCCATCACAGTTAAATTGCATTTCAATATTATGAATTGCTACGCATAATTTATAACCTACTAAATAAATAATGTTAAATTTAGATATTATACATGACTAGACTACCAAAAATAATTTTCAATTAAAGATTTAAAATGTTTTTATCCTTCTTTTTTTATGCTGTAAGTGAGGATTTGGAAAAATGAATGGGGGCATTTCATTTTTTAGTGGGGGCATAAATGATATTTTTAAAAAATTTGGTTATTTATTTATAAAAAATTAAAAGTCATTGGGGGCAAGTGCCCCCATTAATCACCAAGTAGATCCGCCTATATACACACACACACACACACACACACACACACACACACACATATATATATATATACATACATAGATATATATATATATATATATATATATATATACACACACACACACATACATACATACATACATACATATATATATATATATATATATATATATATATATATATATATATATATATATATATATATATATATATATATATATATATATATATATATAGGGATTGACTCCAGTGAGATGACATGCTTCGGTCAGATGACACAAAGCTCACCACTAGTCACTGCAAAACTCACCAAAGACAACTACAAAGCTCACTAAAGTGTAAGGCAAAGCTCACCACATTTTTTCAACACTTTGAATTTTTTTCCAAAAAAAAAAATCAAAGGAAAGGTGCTGACTGGACTTTGACTGTTGACCGCCAGCATTGACCGCCGCCTGCCTCTAGCCGCCGATCGCCGCCGCCGCCAGTCGCCGGTTGTCGCTGCCGCCGCCGGTCGCCGTCGCCGATCTCCGGCAGCCACCGCCGTCGCCGCCGATCGCCGGTTGTCGCCGCCGGTCGCCACCGCCAGACTCCGGCCGCCGCCGCTGCTGCTCCGCCGTCGTTGACCGGTGGTTGACCGGTGTTGTTATTTTATTTTTAATTAATTTTTTAATTTTAAAATTAAAAAAGAGTGTGTTTTGGGTTTCAAAGTGGTGGGCTTTGCTTTATTTCCAGGTGAGCTTTGCTTTGTGCATTGGTGAGCTTTGCAGTCTAGTGTGGTGAGCTTTGCGTCATCTGACCGAAGCATGTCATCTCACCGTAAGGTGTTATCTCACTAGTGGTGGTACTGACTTCCAACCGCTTCTGGCTACCGCCGTGGACCGGTGGTTGACTGGTGGTGCAATTTTATTAGCTTTTTTTTTAAAAAAAAGTGGTGAGCTTTGCATTGTTCCTAGATGAGCTTTCCATTGTCAGTTGGTGAGCTTCGCATTGACAGTTGGTTAGCTTTACACTTTGACCGCCCATGACCAATGGCCACCACTGATGACCCCCACTGTCGTCGTGGATCGGAGGTTGAACGGTGGTTAACTGGTGGTTGAATGGTAGTGCTATTTTTTTAACTCTTTTTATTTAAAAAAAGTGGTGAGCTTTGCATTTTTCCTTGGTGAGCTTTCCATTGGTAGTAGGTGAGCTTTGTATTGGCAGTTGGTGAGCTTTCCATTGGCAGTGTTGTGTGTGTTGTGTCATCTGATTGAAACATGTCATCTTACCATAAGGTACTGAAGTCAATCCCTAATAATATATATATATATATATATATATAATATAATTCTATAAGTATATAATATATATATATATATATATATATATATATATATATATAATATCTCCCTAATTATATAAGGCTCTAAGGATGTTACCTTCGACTTTTTTCCGTCCACTCCCGTCTGTTTCTCCGTTTTTTTTTCTTCCAACCTACGTACACGGATGTTTCCCCACTACTGCACTACATCAATTTAATCCCACTTCAGCTTTTAATTCATTTTTCTCCCTCACCTTGCTCATCCTACAGGGTTTTCCTCTTCGATTTCAAGGTATTTCGCATAATCTCCCTCATTCTTCATAACGTGTGCAATCTTCTATTCTTTACTTCCAATTTCAGATTCTTCAAATTTATAGATTTTGGAAGAATTGGAGGAAACCAATCAAAATTGGACAAAAGTGTAGTAGATAGCATAGACGAAACCCAATTTCAGTTCCTAACACAGGAAACCCAAAAAACTAATGTTATACACATTTTTGAGGAATCTGAGGAAACCCAATTTCAGTTTCTATCAAATTGCATTCAACGATTCTATATCACTGTAATAAATTCTTCAAATTTATTACGAGGAAACTCAATCAAAATTAATTCACTTCCAGAAGTTCAAAGGTTTTATAATTCAGTCCATTTCAAAATTCACCCAAATTTTAATACACTTATTGAATTTTTAAGAGTTAAAGTATTCAAATTTTTTTGACTTCAAATTCACATCTATCCACGTTAGAAAATTTGGGGATCCACTGAAACTGCAGCCAGTTGTGTATTTTTGATGATTTCTAGCTGGAAAGATGTTTAGATTTTTAGTTATATTATTTTTGCTCCATATGATCAATTTCCAGTGTTACAATTTTGTGTTATTTGAATAACGGTAAGGGCTGAGATAAAA